TACCTTCAGTGAAAGTTGGTATTTCATCTTCAGTGAATGTCGATGATTTATTTCTATCTACCTTTAGTGAATGTTGGTAGCTCACCGTTAGTAAATGTCGGTGTTGTTATTTCTTTCCTCTTTCTACCTCCAGTGAACGTTGGTAGCTTCGCCTTCAATAGAAGTCGGTGTATCCTTTGACTTTTTATCATCCTCTATAAGTCAGGTCTTTTGATCCACCAGTGATTTATTTTCCTAGTCAGGTTTCTCTTTTGATTCTCTATTTCCTTTGTTACATCCCCAGTTGTGTTTTGCGTCTCTTTGATTTTGTTCATGCGCATTCATGCTCATAAGCATTGCAAGGCATCTTAGGGCCAAAAATAGGGTTCGTTTTATATTTAAGTATCTTCGATCGCGTCGACACGAAGATTTTTAACCTTCATATCTCCAAATGAAAGAAACTTAAATAAGGGCAACTGTTATACCCCAATTTTTGCCCCTAAGATCCCCTCATCATACCATGTTAATTCAATCACAACAAGATCATGTTAGGGCTTTTGGATCTCCTCCCTATATTTAGCTTTGCTCTTTGAGGAATCACTAAGCACCTTGACTTGTTTTTATTTTGTGATAATACATGTTTTGTTTTGACTTTCCTTTTAATTAATAAAATGCAATGTTGGTTTGTCTTACTTGTTACTAATGTAGGTAAAGGCAATAAGGTTTAACAAGTTGCTCCATGGGTTCATGAGTTATTTTCCATGCCCTAGTCAATAAAGCATGAGAAGTCCAAACCTCACCATTGAAGTTGTTTTGGAAGGGATGGCATGGAAAGGTTATTTTGGTTCACTACATTTCCAAGATATCAAGATTGATTCAAAAGTATAAGGGGTTGATTGAAGAAGTTGTCATGGTTGGGCAAGGCCTTGTTCCTATTGGTCACAAGTGCACATTTCTCTAAATTCTCAAGATATGGAAGTGGTTTTGGTGGTTATGAATTATCATTTTCATCCTCAGTAACTTCTATTTACAAATAAAGAGTGTTGGTACAAGAAGGTGGTTCAAATTTGTCAAGGTTTCTCAAAGCATTTTCTTGATCTAGGAACTAGGGTTTTGAACTTCAAACAAGTATATCTTGCTCATATTTCTGTATTTTTGAGTGATTCTAAAGACATCCTTCCCTTCAAAGGGTTATTAACAAATCACTTCAAAAGTTTCAAGGAATTTTCATGTGGAAGAAACTTGATGATGAAGAAAGATTACAAGTCCTCCAGATGAACCCCCAATTTCCCATGTGTGACTTCAAATGATAAAACCTTGTTCAATTTTTATCACCTTGGGACCACTATTTTTCCATAATTATCTTGAGGATGTGAGCTTTATACCTTCTTTTATAGGCAAAGTGAGAAAAAGGATGGAAGATGCCCTAAGGATACAAAAGATTATAGGTCATTTCATGATTTTTTTTCCAACTTCAACAATTCATAATTCTCAATTTTTGGAGATTTTGAATGGTTCAAGTTTCAAAGTGTCATTTAAGAGGTCTATTTCATGCCATCTTTTTTGGTCAAGAGCAAATTCCAAGTGGAAGGCAATGCTTGGATGTAAAACATTATAGGTCACTTTTGAAGAAAAATTTGAAATATTTCTAAGTATGGAAAGTCAACATTTTTTCTCCAACTTTGACTCAATGCAACTTTCAGCTCAAGCATCCATTTGATTTCATTCTTTTTCCATTGCAAAGCTTGTAACATCATCTTTCTAAAGTATCAAGAATCATGCCCTAAGACCCCTTGAGCTGAGAATGCCATTGATTTCAACTTGGTAACTTGAAACTGAAGTTTCTTCAAAAGTCAGAATTTGAAATCATTGATTTAGCTTCTTAACACATTGCTTCTGCACATTTTTGCCTCTAAACATGTTTAGTGAACTTCCAGAAGTGATTAGCTCAACAAAACACACGTTTTGGATGAGTTTTGATCAAATTAGAAGTCACACTTTTCTTGTTTGCAACATTACACGATTTCCCTCCAAACTTCATCATTTCACATGCTTGGACATTCCATTTGATTCTCTATAAATAGAGGGTCATCCCTCATTCATTTTCTCAAGCTTGGATAGCCAGAATCACCCTGCCAAACTTGTTCTATAACTCAAACTTCTGCAACTTCGAAACCTGTTTTCAAGCCTTTTTCAATCCAATTTTTCAATCAATTTACCTCCCTTGATCTTCCCTGAAGCTAACCATATAATTACCTTCAAGAATCATGCCCTATATTGCTCAATAGAAGTCCAGTTTCAGAGCTCTGCAACTCAACTTCAATAGGTAGATTTCTTCATCAATTATTCAAAACTTTGATATCATTGTGATGCTCTCATTGTCATGGTTCTAGTTGCAACACTTACTTTTATCTGGAAACATGTTTTGACCATGAAATTTCAAATCCCTTTTCAAAACTTTCCTTCCAAATTGCTTGAGCTACAATTTATATAAATTTATCGCGAAGGTGTGGTTGTCTTCGTCTTGAAGAGACGAAGTGAATGACATAGGTCTCGTGCTCTAATTTTACCGATTGAGCACCTGCTTTTGGGACTGGCTGGAGGTTGAAGATGACCAACGTGTCATCCTTCAACCAATGAAACAACGACATTTTTATTTTTCAAATTTCTGATTTACATTGGATTCAGTGCTTTATTCACTAATGACCATGATATGCACAGCGCGCCAGATCCCTTAGATTTGATTACGAACGCCTTTTGACTATCATCCAATGGTCCATATATTTTTTACTTTATTTTTCTTTTCTGATTTTTATATTTAATTGTTTTAAATTTCAAAAAAATCATAGAAAATTTATTTTTAGTCCAAAAAATATGAAAAAATTATGAAAAATATTTTTGAAATTTCTCTTTTTGATTTTTATTTTTTCACAATTTTATTTTGTGTTTTGATATTTATTAATAAATTTTCACTTTATTTGATTTGTTTTAAATGTTTAAAAAATACTTTTATGCATTTTTTAACTCTGAAAAAATTATGGAATAATCGAATGACATTGTGACAAATATTGGTGACCTCATTCATTTTTTGTTTCTGACTTTGGTATTTTTTGTCATTTTTGGTTCATTTTACTCATTTCTTTAAATTTTAAAAATAGTTTCTGACTTTAAAAAATTACCAAAAATTTTATAAAATTATTTTAGTTCATTTCTGTTTTTTCTATGGTCTTACTTTTCATTTCTTGATTAATTTGAACATATTTAATATTTTTCTCTTTTATTTTTATTTTAAACACATTTTAAAACTTTTTTTAATGTATATACTAAATGCAATATTGTTTTGTGATTATTTTCTGGCTGATCTTCGGTTAAATTTTTGATTATGAACTTTGTTAACATCATTGGATCCATGGTGTTGAGTTTAACTCCATAAAAATGGATGAATGATTTTAATAATGGCTTAAATGAAATTTAATTCAAATGTAGTTTGTATGTTCTTTCCCACCCCTCTTCATCTTATCCCTTTCTTATTGCACTAAGTGTTATTGGAGCATGATCTCTATATCATGTCTCAAAACAAATGGTGCATAGATTGCTATTGACCGGCCTCAAAATAGGTGCGACTTCTATATACACTACAAGAAAATTAGTGTTTAACGACACAAAAATTGCGACAGTTATGTGATAACTGTCGTAATTGACATATAGAGACAGTGTTTACGACAGTTGACACCAACCGTCCCTAATATTTATTTTGCGACGGTATATTTAACCATCATAATATTATTATTACGACGGTAAAACAACCGTCGGCCCCCATTTAACACTTTTAACATTGATTTTTCACCAATAACTAGTCACGACGGTAAAATTAACCGTCCTAAAAGGCATATCACGACGGTAAAACACCCGTCGCACCCTTAAACCTTTCACGACGGTAAAATTATCCGTCCTAAAATTCATTTCACGACGGTAAAACAACCGTCGCACCCAAAACCTTTAAAAATTCTCATGGGCACGACGGTAAAACACCCGTCGCAGTAAAAAAGTTAAAAAGCTCTTAAAATACATAAAACATCAATTCACTTTCTTTTCCTTAACCTGAGCTGGTACGGAGCCTTCCACTGTGGACCGATACTACGCAAAGGTAGAACACCATAGTAACTTCGCTGACTTTATAATAAACAACCTTGATTTCGCTACGCTCAATAAGAACCCGGAATAGCGGAAATCGGTTCGTGTTCTGCTTCCAAACAAAGTCAGTCGTCTTTGCCCAAGTGTGAACTGCGGACGACTCTCCAGTGGTTCCATTCCTTCTTACTTGGCTTCTGGGTCAACCCAACCCGAATGGGAAGAAGAGGGTCAGCCAAACAGCAATCCACTTTGTACATTTGCTGAGGCAGACCAATCGGGAATTTGAGAAAAGGGAAGGTAATTTTTATCACCGAAGGAGGCAAGGCAGTAGAAATTAAGGAGGAAAATACAAGAATTCTCGACCTAAGGTTCGTGTGGGTCTTCTAAAGAAGAACCCTAAAGTTTTGAAACCCGCTTTCACCATTCCTCCCAAACTGTTACAATCCCTTGTAGAAGACCCTAAATCGGATGAAAAAGGCAGCGTCACACAAAACTACAATTCCTTCGGCGTCGTCAATGACCATAAATCCCTCACCGGTTCTCTTCGAGCTCCTCCTTCTGTCTCTGATGACCCCAACGATTCCGGCAGTGACCTCGAAGAAGACGGTATTTTCGTGTATTTTAGTATCAGAAATTGTTTATATTTTTTTGAAATGCATGTAAATTTTATGAATTTTGTGGTGTAGATTTGAAATCGGCACTGGGAAAGAGAAGAAGAGATGGTAAAAGTGCACTATCTCTCTTCTAATAATGCATATTTGGAATATTATAAACTTGTGTCTGATAGTTTCAATTAGCTGCTTTGAAAATGGTTTTAGTTAACCTATTCCACCTGGTTTTATAGAATTGTTTCTTATTGATTCTCCCTCTGTGTTGGCAGTGTAATAATGTTTTTGTCAGATATGTCTGGAAGAAAACCTGTATACAGGAAGTATGTGTTCTTTCGTACCTTTTTTTTTTGCGATTTCACCTTCACTTCTACTTATTGGTTTTCAAGCCTGTTATATTCTGTGTTTTTGTAGAGCATTTGTTTTCTTTAGTTCACCTATTGCCAGAGAATTGGTGTTGGAGATTAAGAAAGATACACTGGTTTTGCCTCGCATTGGTGCATTAAGAGAGGTGAAGTTTTGTTTTTGTTTTTAAAATGTTTATGAACTCTATGTTAAATTGAATATTGTCGAAAACAATTTCATATGTTGCTTATTGTGATTTTTTTTTCTTTCACTGTGCATGGCAGATGAATTTAGAATATTTTGCCATCGACAGTCAGGTATGTGGTATGTGGTTGTACTTCATTTATCTTGCCTTCCACTCTTTACATCTTTGCTCATATGAATGAGATTACTCTCTTCCCTTTCATAGTTATATAAGCAGTATTAGAAATTTTCAAAACTTATTAAGTGTAGACATGCACCTAGTATTTGTCCACTTCCACATATACAATATTAATGTACATAGCCATTAGCTCAGGTCAACTATTTCAGTTATAATAACTTATTAGAATCTATTAGCTGTTGAAAAAACACGTCTGCAAAACAGATACAAAGTTTGTTCTTCAGATTCAAATTCCAGTATACTTTGAATAAATATTACAAACAATTATGCCTTTGACTGAATCTGCAAAATTAGAGACTTGTCGAGGATTTATAATGGAGTAATTTTCACGCATTAAAAATGGAACAATCATGGAAATGGATCGAACGTCCAATGATTTGTGCAAATTGGATATTTTAATCATTCTTGTATTTTGTTCTAATAGCGTCTCTCTAAAAAGGTATAGTGTAGCTATACTTTTTAAGCTCAAAATTCATGAAATCGGCTTGTTGAGATTATTTCATTTAAGAAAATTTATTAACCTTCAAATGTGCTCAGTAGGAAGTTTTTTAGTGTATTTTCTCATTCTTGTGATTATCTCGTTATTTTGTGTTGTCATTTTGTCCTGTTAATGCAGGGTTTCGTTACAAACAATGAGAGAGCTTTAGAGGAGCTATATGGGGACGAGGAGAACAATAAAAAAGCTGTTGCATGTTTGAATGTGATGGCTACTCGAGTTGCTTCTGTTTTTGCTTCATTAAGAGTATGTAGTCAATGCTCTTTGACTCTTTGCCGTAGGAATTTGAAAATTTTAATAGTTTCCCATAGTATGTCAATGTTCTAAATCATGTAATTTTCTCTAGGAATTTCCTTTTGTTCGATTTCATGCTGCCCCGTCACTAGATGCGAACACAATGACTATTCTTCATGATCTTATTCCTACAAAGCTTGCTGCTGGTGTCTGGGACTCTCTTAGGAGGATTGAAGCTTCCAGGGAAGTTGCTGGAACGCTTGCGAAATCGCCTAATGTTACTTATCTTCCTGGTGGAAACAACATGATGATGGCTCTTAATCCTGCTGGTTGATTATCACGGTAATCATCTTTTCCTCACTTTTCAAATTTTTATTTATTTATTTATTGAGTTTGGTTTTTCATTGCGGTTATAGTCATGAATTGAGGCACACTGCAGTCCATATATCAAAAACCTTGCTGTCACAATTGAAATTGCAGTGGCAGGTGGCAGACCTTTTTAAAACCCTAGTTCATTGCTATTTGTTACATTGCAATCCATACAATGTGTGTTCTTCGTATTTATGATTGCCATTGGATATAGATATATAATCAATAGTTAATAAGTTACTTGAGTTTCAATTGTAGTTAAGTAGCAGGTGTTGAAGTTGTTGGTAAATGCCACAGTGATATTGGTAGCGATGCAGTTTTTGAGACATGTTGTGATGTTGTTGCTGTAATATTGTTTGACGTAGAGTGATCTGGAAGAAAGTGGGGTGTTGCTTTTTAGTCTTCCAGTTGAATTAATGGATTATATGGAGGGTTCTTGTGAATGTGGTTGTTTGTTTTGGTTCTCGGTAGGTTGTACTTATAGCTTTTAGGAGGATTAGACTTAGATAGAGTGCTTATGGCGCTGTTCTGACCTTTCCTCTCCTAATAATTTTCAAGTTTCTTTCTCAAAGCTACATATTCTTTCTTCATTTGTTGATAGCTCTTCCTACACCTGAGTATGTTACAACAACAACCATTGTTAGGAATCATATTCCATAAATAAATGACTTAGATTTAATGCATGTTTCATTAAGTTGGTTATGGGCAAAAAGAAATTTGTTTCTTTGAAAGAACTTAGCTCTTGGCAGTAGGATTACTAATTCCTATGTAGTTTCTACATTTTGTAATATTATACACTTGTTCATTATTCAATTGTTCTCTCTTCAATTAATCTTTACTGCTAAATCTATTTCTTTAGCTTCAGATTCTAATCTATCTTGCTGTGCTGAAGTTTTTATATCAAACAATATTTTGCTATTTTTATCTTTCCAATTTGTAGAATTTATGATTCTCTTGGGCCTTCTGTTTTCAACTAGTAATAATAAATTCCCGTATGCAGCTTGCAGCAAAGTTCCGTAATAGCGGACAAACATGTGTATGTGCAAATAGAATTCTTGTGCAAGAAGGTTAGATAAACGAGATATCAAACTATCAATTTTACTGTTATAATACATTTTTCTGATCTGCCATCCTTATTCTGATTTGCCATCCTTAATTTTGTTTGACGGTAATGTGCTATTAGTGCTAATAATGATTCCCTACATTATTTGCTCAAAGTTCCTTCTCCTAACTGCTGTAGGATGTGGGAATTTGCCACAGCACATACTAGCTGGTTCATGTAATGTGTTTTATGAGACAACATTATAAATCTTTTCAGGAATTTTGGTTAGTATTTTGTAGCCTGTATTACCCAATCTTAATGATTGCAATTTCAGCAAGTGGTTGCTTATTTAATTGTCACATAGTTTTAACATGGAATTTAGAATTATTTCAGCAAGTGGTTGCTTATTTAATTGTCACACAGTTTTAAAATGGAATTTAGAATTGTTTTGAAATAAATAAAAATAAAAAATGCAAACTAGAGAACATAAGATAAGGAATTGAGGGAAATTGGACCCACTTTCTTATAAGAGATTTACCAACATTCTTATAAGAGATTTTCTTTAATCAGTAATGTTAATGTATCCCATTGATTATTTGCCCGTTTCTATCTCACACCAATTCAATGTCCATTTAGATACATTATTTGTTTCAGTTCTTAAGTTATTTGCATTTTATTATGTAACCATGTTTCTGTAAAGGTATATATGACAAGTTTGCAAATGCATTGCTTGATGCTGTTCAGAGTATGAAAGTTGGAGATGGTTTTAGTGAAGGTGTGGTTCAGGTAGTTAGCTTTTTAAATTTGATTATCTATTTTTTCGAGAATCCATTTTTCCTTTTTACCAACAATGGAAATTGCTTACCTTGCGTCTCCATATTTCCCTACTCACTGGCTGATTTTCGCAAATATTTAGCGTAGAGTACTTTTCGATGTGATAATTCCTATTTAGCGTAGAGTACTTTTCATTGTTAGGAATCATATTCCATAAATAAATGACTTAGATTTAATGCGACAATTGTTTCTGTCCATGATGATATGATTAGAAGAAGAAGATGAAGGGACACACAAGGAAAGAATAATAAAGGAAGAGGTTGGAATTGAAATTTGGGGTCTGAGTTTTCATGTATGATTAAAGAGGCTAAAGCCTTGGGGATGGCTCTCGGCGTCTCTTGTTTGAATGGGTAATATTTAATAGAAGTTACAGTTTGATGGTGTTTTGCTTTAAAGAATGCTATCATATTTTGCCGGAATTGTTGATGTTCAAATTTATTTATGGACTAATAAAAAATTAAAATTTGTATGTAGGGTACTAAACATATATTATTTAGAAATGATATTATCGAATTTTTATTCCTCTTGAAAGTTGATTGAACAAGTTGCATTGATGGATGCTAAAGAACCAATTTGAACTGATAGCATCTTGCTCTTTTTCGAAAATGCAGGATTGAAGAAGCTGAAGCACAGTGTGCTTTGTTGAACTCTGAATCATTATGCGTAAGCACTTGTCTACTTTGTAATTATCAGTTATTTTTGGGATACTAGTACTATTGCTGTTTGCTAATATCATGATTGTTGTCATTCATTGTTGAGAATTATAGGATGGATGTTTCAGTTCAGATTCAGATATATTTCTCTTTGGTGCAAGGACAGTGTACAGGGAAATCTGCCTTAGTGAGTATATCATTTGGTTTCATTTTTAAATATTATTGTTGAATATATTTTTGTGCTAATTGTATTTTTCGTATAAGTTCTAAGGATTTTTTTGTACTTTCATATGACTTACAATAATTTTTTTTTATTAATGAGTTAGGAGATGGTGGATATGTTGTATGTTATGAGATGGCAGAGATTGAAAATAAACTTGGATTGGGACGGGATTCATTGGTAAATTTCTGATTGATGTTTTAACATAAGAGTCACAATGCTTTCTTAGACGATCTTTCGTTGTTTCTTGTCAATTCAAAATTCAAGGGTATTGAGTTCTTGTTCTGGTGAAAATCAGTAACCGAGTAACCCATGATCTTCAGATTGCTCTCTCTTTGCTTCTCGGCAGTGACTATCATCAAGGAGTCCACGATTCGAACTTCAAACCCTTCAAATTGGTTTTTACGACCAAGATATGCAATGGAACCGAAGCCGACGAAGAGGAGGCTTTTTCCGGTTTTCTATTTGGCACGAGATCGGCTTCAGGTATGATGTTCTCTAATTTATGCATCTTTCCTCTTCTACTCCATCTTTTCTGCGATCCTGAATGTGTTGTTAATGGGACGAATTTGTTGATTCCGTGATATTGATAGTTGTAGGTGATTACGGGAAAAGCTTTTGCAGGTCACAGTTTGTGAAGGTGGATGTAGCAGGTCTAGAATTCTGATTATATGTATTTGTGGGCTTTGGTTTCCATTCCTTATTAAAAAGAGCTTTTCGAGGGCCATTTAATTGTTGAGACCGGTTATTGTAATTAGAGGATGGAAGACTAACTGAAGAGCTTCCGAGAGTTACCGATGATGATGGGGATGGTATCTCATTGCCATGATTTTTTTCCACTCTCGGGGATTTACCTTGAATCTTTTATTTCATAGAAGAGCTACTAGTCTCAGAAAAAGCAGTTAATTTGTTCTTGGCTGAGTTAACAGCATTTGATTCTCCATGAGAGTGTTGGTTTTCCACTTCGCGTCTAATGGCACCAACAACACCAGGAAGCCATGAGTTATCAGATGGAACCAATACTGGATCAGAAGAATAGAAGTGAACAATCGTTGAGGATGTCGGCCCAGTTTCAGAAGCAACAGTTGCAACTTGATTTGATTTATCAGGAGATGAAGTACTATCCACATTATTACTATTATTTCTAGATAATTGAACCATTATGTCTCTGTTTCCAACAGATGGTGGGGAAGCTAAAGGAAACATGAAACTGTGGTGGATCTAAGCTTGTGATAAGGTGTTTTTTCTTCTTCTTTGATTCAGTTGATCTGTTGTTATGATTCAATATTTTTGTTTCTGAATGCTGTGAAATTAGTGTTGATGTTGGAAGGTAATGGTTGTGTGTGAGCAGTATCATTCTCGGAGGGAGGTTATGGAAGGGGTTGTTTGGTGTATGGAAAAGGTGAGTATTGTATGGAAGGGGTTGAACAAATACTAATGCATAATATAGGAAAGGACGATACCATTTTACAAGTGATTGATGCTTATTTGAAGCCAAAATGCCACTCAGCTGATTCAGACTTTGTGCTCAAGTATGTTATTTAATTCATTGCTTCCAGTTCCTTTACTATACTCAATATTGATTGGAATTTAGAATATACTAATCAGAACCTACGAAAGCTATATGTTAATGGTAAAGTTTATCTGCTATAGTTCTGAATCTGGTTACTAATTAGATACGCACTTAAAATAAGAATTTGCAAAAATTTCTGTAGGGCTCATTCTCAGTATCTATTTCAACGTACTAAGCTCCATCATATATGCGCTGTATACTTCGAATGGCCTTCGGAGAGAACAGGTACTTTATCTAATTTCAAATGCTTATTCTTGTAACTCAAGAATTTGTGCTCCGAGTCATGTCATTAGTCTTAGTCAAGAATTGGTATATGCTACCTCTTGGATGAAAATTTGGAAGTTGTTTGAAATGCTGATTGTTGGTTCATGAAATAGATGGATATATCCTTCCATGTATAGCCGAAAGGGATTTACGATGATTTTCCAATTTGCGATCAACTTCGTCTGAACTTGGGTTGAACCTTCCTTTACATGAGGTACTGCTAACTCTATTCCAATGGAAGACAGGTATATTAATTTGACGCATTTAAAGTTAAATTTTATGAGTATTATTTTAAAGATTATTATTTTAATACCTTTTTTTAGGGATTGGAATCACCCGCTGATGGTAGACGTTCATCTGAGTCTAGCTATCGTATTGGAGATAATGGAACTTCAGGGGGGACAAATTAGACTTTGCTATGATCGAGATAATTAGATTGTGAACTTTCTCATGTATTTTTGGCATAATGATACTTATTATTATAAGATTAGGAATTGATATATTTTGGGTTTTTTGTACTACTTGACATGATTATGGAACTCGCATTTTACATGATTATGGAACACACATTTTTTTGGATATTATAATGCTTATTTGATGTTAAATATTTTTTATTGAAATTATTTTTACTATATTACAAAGTGATAGAAAATAAAACAAAAAATAATACTATAAATAAATATATTAAAGAAGAAATAATTTAAAGAAAAAAATAACACAAAAAAAAACTATATTTAAAATTTTTTACATAGATAATAATTTAAATAAAAAATATATATAATAGAAAAATAAAAAAAAATTAAGACATAAACAAAAGTCATGGCGACAGTACCGAACCGTCGTAATCAACAAAAGTCATGACGGTATCGAACCGTCGCCATAAATAATTTAATCAATTTCAAAAGATATTCACGACAGTATCGAACCGTCGCCATCAATAATTAAAAGAAACTCAAAAGATAGTCACGACGGTATCAACCCGTCGTAAACTTGAACGACAGTTTTTGTAACCGTCGCGAAATAGGTTGGGGACACACACTTCTGCGACGGTAAAGCAACCGTCGTGGAAAGCAAATTGCGACGGTTTTAACCGTCGTAATCTACAAAAATACCTGTCGCAATCTGCCAATTTTCTTGTAGTGATAAGCCCATTTACGATTGCTTAACATATCGATAAATTTTGTCCCGATTTGAATAAATTATCATTCGTGGCCCAAACCTATGTTTGCAAGCCCAAGTATGTTAATTTGATCTCTTTGATCCAATAACCTTGAGATTCATTGTGTGGAGGCTTTGGTTCACCAATCCTCTAATGGATCTACAACACTTTTGGTCAACGCGGATCACTTAAACATCGTTGATCATTAAATGGTACTTTTGAGGATTCCAAATAGATGATATACTTGACAAAAAGCAAATGCAACTTGTTGTGTGGAGGCTTTGGTTCTACCAATCCTCTAATGAGTTCCAAATGCAAGTTTCAAGATGGTCATCCAACTAACCACTAATTACTAAATTATTTCTACTTTATGCCCTTTTATTTTTTATGCTTTATTTACCATTTACTTTAAGCATTACATTTCATGTCATTTTTATTTTGCTCACTTGAGCTTTTTTTTTCCTCTTCTAAGACACCTAATAATCAACATGAACCATAAAACCTTTAATGATACTTGGACTATTTGGTTACTATCCTTGGCATTATGGAGTATTGGACTTCTTGGACTTAGGATTAGAAACCTTGGCCTATGTTGGAGACCTTGTGACCTTAATTGATATTTTGTCTGGATCTCTTGAGGTTTACCTTAAGACATTGGGTTGTTTGTTTGTTTTGTGTGCAAGTTATTGTGATTACATCCTTTGTTTGTAATCTAGAATTCACCCGTATACAGCCGTTTCTCTGCCCAATTTTTGTGAAGACTTAATACACTTAAAGTTTGGTTCTCTCAAGAGATTTAGTATCTTTGCTTGCTTGGTTTTAATCCAAAGAATGAGAATTCTATCTTGGCTCATAATGTCAAGTATTGGCTTCTTGTTGGTTAGATGGTTCTTATCCCTAGATTTTACCTTATGCTTTAGGATAGTCTCTTCTTCTCCTCCCATCTTCTTAAATTCAAAAATCTTCTCTCTCCTTTTGAAAACTCTTCTTGTTTCTTTTAAACTTGAACCATTTTCATAATAAACTTGGACTTAGATCCATGCATTTTCAAAATCTTTTCATAAATAAACTTCAATCGACTTAATAATACCTTGACATTTTTTTGTGAGAAGACTAAAAGTCAATCAATATCATTTCAAATCATTTTGCCACTTTGGCTTTTTATTTTAAAACCTTTCTCAAAAGATTAGACTCTTGTCAATCCTTATAGTGATCCAAACAACTATACTTCTACAATATGTAGTGAAGAGAGATATTTTCCACTTGGGTGTTGAGTGAGACATTGTTGATTTTAAAATCCAAGTCATATCCTTCACTTTGAGATGATGCAAATTCTCCTTTTTCATGATTGTGGGTAGTAAGTCTGTTTTTTCACACGGACAATGACGATGATGTCTTATCTCATAAAATTAACCAACACACTTGTGTTTTAAAATTTTCAAAGAGGAACTATGTGTACCCTGATCCCCTATTGCACGAAAGGTGGTACGTAGGAACTAAAGGTTCACAACCGCGGCGGGTGAAAAAACCATAAAAATGTATTTCTTTTCTCACCTCTACCATCTATTTTTATACAACATTTTATAGCCAAAATATACAGATTTTACAAAGAGGTTCCTGCGGAGTACCGTAGATGTTTAGGGTTCTAATACCTTCCCTTTGCATAACAAACCCCCTTACCTTGAATCTTTCCCCATCTTATTGGGTTACTCGCTCTTTTCCCATTCCTTTGAAAATAATAAAGCGCGGTGGCGATTTTTATTTTGATCTGTATAAGTCTAGTCAATCCAATGGCTTAGTCTTAAACATTTCTACCGCTACAATGGGCCATTCGAATTCATGCAGATTGGAGAGGATAACTCTGAGCCTTTCGAATTTCTGTAGACTATGGTTCAAACAAAGAAGCTCTGATGCTGAGAATATCAGCAATTCAAATTCAGAGCCTTCGAAGGAAAAACAAATATTTTGATGAGGGAAGTTATGGGCAATTTGAATTAGGACTTAGAGCCATCAAAGAGAGTATAACAACACTTCGACCAGTCAACAAGATAATGCTTCGATTGGACCAAGTTCAAAGCCATCGAAGAGAGCAAAACTTGAGACTTAATCGAAGGAACCATGATCCTAACCTATCCAGGTTCACCCAAAGTTCAAAATGGCATGTTTTCCTTGCAAATATGGAAAGAAATCAATGTTGATTATGGATTCAATTCCTGAGTTAAAGGCCAGATTCTTGCCTTGTTTATTCCTAACTCCACAAGAGCTGATTCGACCAGGGTGATTTTCTTCAAATCAGGAAATTAAAGCAGAGGGTGGCTCAGTCGAAGGAGCCATGACATTGAAGCTGGTGCAATTCAAATTAGAGTTTAGAGCTTTCAAAGGAAACAATGCTCTGATGAGGAAAGCTCTGAGTAATTCGAATCAGGACTTAGAGCCTTCGAAGAGAACAAATTCGAAGGGAAATGGATCTGCAGGGGTATGTCAGCTTTCCATTTCCATCATATGGGAGGTCCAAACAACTCATAACAGGTTGGAAGTAATGCATGAAAACAAATTGACACCTGATCGAATCAGATATAAAAAGTTTTTATGAAGAAATCAAATCAAATCTCTTCATCATAATGGACCAAGATTTGATACACAAATGTTGACCTAAAATCTCTTGTCTATATAAACATCATGATCTCATAGAAAAAGGACACACATATATCTTGCTCACAAAAAAACGCAGCCTGCCCCACGAAGTTCCAGAAAGTTGCACAAAGTTACCAAAGATTGTCAAACTCAAAGCTGATTTTGCAAGCAGTCACCGTCCAAACTAACACCTAAATCGTGTTCCTGTGATTCACGCAGAAGCATCCCTCATACAATCCCTTTGTTGGTAATTTTGTCTTTGATCTCAAACTTTTTAAACGTGATCTAAATTCATGTCGAACATACATATGTATTGCTGCTAATGGTCATGTTTGTTTAAGTGTATTACATGTGAGAAAAGATGCAGGATTGAGATCATGCCATTGTTGGGGCATGATCTGAACTCACCTTCGATTCTTACAGCCTTAGTTTATCTTCGATTGTTAAATACCATAGGGGTCCACTGAGCGCGCGAATTTGATATTTAAGTCAATACTGTGTTTTTTTGTTTCTAACGTAATATTGTTGTTTCGTTAGTACCAATGAATGGAAATCTTTCGACCAGGATGGTAAGGA